GGGGGGGTGGCGTCGCGGTGCTGAGGGGGTGTGTTATGGTGGCGCTATGGAGGGCAGTACTCTTTTTTTTTTTGCTTGGGGCGGCCAAAAAGTTAGAGCCGGCCCTGGGTGTCGATATCTTCTCCACAAATGGAAAAATAAAAGAATCACCAAATTGTGACTGTGATACAAACCATGCAACACACCATGGAGAATTGCCCCATTCACTCTTAGAGATTTGGCACAAAGGGGATCCACCTATCTACCCCAGAAGCACTAGAATGGCTTTCAAATCTCAATATTCAGTTATAATCCCAGCCCATTGCTTGTCAAATGCCATATGGAAAAAGAAGAAGAACAAGAAGAAAACAAATTAAGAAAAGAGTAGAAAAAACCTGAAACTGAACCAACTAAAGACTCCAGGAAAGTTAGTGTTTGAAGGAAATGCTACAGAGAACTGGAGAAAGTGGAAGGGGGGATTTAAGCTCTGCAGCATTGTGAGTGATGCAGACAAAAAGATGAATGGCTGCAAACAGCATTATTTCCTCATTTGGCAGGTGAAGAAGCAAGAGAGGTTTTAATACTTTAAAATTTGATAATGCAGCAGATAAAGAAAAATATAAGCTTTAAAAAATAAGTTTGAGGCATACTGTGCCCACAAAGAAATGTCACATATGAGAGGCACAATTGTTTCACCAGCAGTCAGACAGAAGGGAAAATTATAGACCAACATGTGACTTCTTTAAAATGGCAGCACAATGTTGTGAATTTGGAGATCTGTGTGACTCACTCATTAAAGACCTCATTATGCGCGATACTGTCTCAGAGTCAGTACAAGCTAGGTGGTTGAGGGAGACTAATTTAACCCTTGAACGTTCTGTGGACATATGTTGTACAGCGGAAACGACTGCAAAACAATTGAATGAGCTGGGTGAACCCAAAACCATGTGCACACATTGCAGCATAAGTCTGCCTTTAGTAAGTACCCAGCCATACAGTCATGGACTGGAGGATGTTCTGTGGTCAGTAAAAGCCTGTAATCAAGAGAAGTGAAAAAAGAGCAGTTAGAGGCAACTGAGGGTTGTTATAAATATGGCCACAGCCATGCCATAAAGAACTGTCCAGTGTATGGGCAAGAATGCCAAAGATGTGGCAAACACAATCATTTAGCCAAAATGCACAACTCTGGAAAGGAAAAGTCCCAGGGCAAACACGTTTTCCCTCACAGAAGCAGATGAGCACTCACAAGATCTGTTCCCTGGTATGCTGTGTACTTAGCCATCCAAAGCTGAGTGGAATGTGGTTTTGCTCATTAACGATCACAAAACTGAGTTTTTAAATTGATATTGGGGCACAGGCCAATGTGCTGTCTCTAAAGTTATACAACACTTTAAAGACCGAACTACTTTGCAGCTCCAGTATCTGGCTGATAACCTACTTGGGGGAAAACTGAAAGTATGTGGTAAATTCAGCTTGGACTGCGAGTATCCGGGTAAAAAAAGCATTGATGACTTACAAGCCATACTGGGTTTTGAGGCTGTGACAAACTTAAACTTAGTGCAAAGTGTCAATATAGTAAAAGAAGAACCGGAAGGTGACTGGGATATAGTTAAAGAATACAAGGATGTATTTGAAGCTACATGGCACTTGCCTGGTAAGCACATCATAAAGATTGACTCACAAGAACCACCTTTAATTCATGCACCTCGTAATGTTCCAGGGGTGTTAAGGAACAAAGTAGAAGAGTTGTACCACACGGAACTTTTGCAAGTAATAATAAAAGTGCAATAACCTACAAAATGGGTCAATTCTATAATAACTGTAGACAAACCAGGTTGAGATGAAAAAAGAATATGCTTGGATCCAAGAGATATGAATAAAGAGATATGGAGAGAACATTTTCAATTGCCTACAGTAGAAGAAATCACGAGCAAGTTAGCAAAAGCTACAATTTTCATTTCTTAGATGCTAGTAGTGGATTTTGCCAAGTCCAGCCAGATGACAAAATTTCTAGACTCTGTATGTTCAACAGACCATTTGGCAGGTACAGGTTTCCCAGACTTCCTTTTGGCATCTTTTCAGCTCGTAAAATGTGCCAAAGAGTGACCCAACAGACATTTGAAGGACTGGAAGGTGTTGCATATTACGTAGATTACATAACGGTCTGGAGAAATACCAGAGGAGAACATAATGGAAGGCTCAAGAGAGTTCTAGACAGATGTTGTGAAAGGAACATCCGACTAACCAAGAGCAAATGCAAAACTGGCTATGACAGAGATAAAATATTTGGGGCATCACTCGACAAAAGAAGGTCTTAAACTTGACAACTAAAAAATTGCTGTTATAACTGAAATGGCCACAGCGACCTGTAAGGCTGAATTGCAAAGATTTTTTGGAATGGTTTATTACCTTGGGAACTTACGTGTCTGTGGGGATGCAAAGTTCCATGAGAGGGTAAGGGTCACGATGGGACACTTGCCTGACAATAAATCATGGCCTTATGTAAGGCCCCCTAGTGGTTATATAAGATGAGGCCTTATGTAAGGCCCCCTAGTGGTTATATAAGACGAGGCCTTATGTAAGGAACATCTGAACCAATCGGTGTGGGGCTATACATGTGGTGAACACATGATTCTCCTTCTTGTCCAATCGGTAGATGTGTAATTATAGCCTAATTGTGTTATGTAATGTTAAGAAAGACTATAAAAGAAAGCTTGTAATAAACAGAGTTCAGTTCAGCAAGAAGGATTATAAAGAAAGCTTGTAATAAACAGAGTCAGCTTGCAACCACATTGGTCGTGTGCTTTGTCCTCCCCGCATGAAACCCCACAAATGGTGACCCCGACGTGATTCCGCATGGGACCCCACACGTGTCAATAGTAGCAACTTCTGTAAGACAACTGTTGGAAAAAGATGCCGAGCTCTCCTGGATGCCAATACACAAGGTTTTATGTGAACACTTGAAAGAATTGCCTACAGAGTCACCCAAGCTGAAGTACTTTAATGTCAAAGAACCAATCACTTCATCAGCAGATGCCAGTTCTGCTGGAGTAGGGCCTGTATTGCTGCAAATTGGGGCTTCTGTCACTTCTGCCTCTAGAGCTCTGACAAGTGCACAACAGAGTTATGCCCAGATAGAAAAAGGAACGCTGGCAACAGTATTTGGCTGCACTCGATTTCATCACTTTATCTATGGAAAAAAAAGTAACTGTGGAATTAGGCCCCGTGCTTCTCCAAGCCATTTTCAGAAAACCTTTGTGCAGTGTTCCACCAAGGATTCAAAGATGGTTGCTAACACTCCACAAATATCAACTGCAAGTGGAATACAGACCATGGTAAGAGTTAGCAATTGCTGATGCTTTATCCAGAGCATACATACTGCATGGTGCCGGAGTAAGTTGATGTTGAAATATGTTGCATGATGTCTTATTTGCTTATTTCACAACAGAAATTGAAGGAATTTCAAGCTGCTATTGCAAATGATGTTGTCCTGCAAAACTTACTGTTTTGCAAGGATGGCGAGGAATACCAGAGGATATCTGTGCTTATTGATCATTTAGAGAGGAACTAAGTGTGCAAGATGCACTTGCCTTTAACAGTGACAGAATCATAGTACCAGCAAGTCTAAGAACAGAGATCTTAGCTATTATCCATGAGAGTCTTCTGAGAGCAGAGCTATGTAAAATGAGAACTTGAGATGCTGTCTATTGTCCATAAGTGTTTAGTTAAATTGTGGACATGGTACAGTCTTGCAACGTACCAAACCTTCAGACACAAAAATCAAAAGTACCAGTGCTACCATATGAGGGTTCAAACTGACCTCCTTACCTGCTCAACTCCTCATGGAAAGACATCTAAGTACCAGATTGCTGACTTAATCGAAGTTGTTGCAACTTAACTTGATACAAAGAGACATACAAACTAACCTAAAACTGAGGCAAGCAAAGCAGAAATATTTCTTTGACAAAGGTGCAAAGCCTTTATTATCACTGGAAAATGGAGAGACTGTTTGTATTAGTCAAAAGGGGGGAGGGATAGCTCAGTGGCTTGAGCATTGGCCTGCTAAACCCAGGGTTGTGAATTCAATCCTTGAGGGGGCCATTTGGGGATTGGTCCTGCTTTGAGCAGGGGGTTGGACTAGATGATCTCCTGAGGTCCCTTCCAACCCTGATATTCTATGAAAAGGAACAAGGAAACCTGCAAAGGTGATTGACAAATGAACTGGTCCAAGATGATAGAGGCAGGAGATACCTACTGAAGAAACAGAAGGGATTTGATGAGCATTAAAAGAATTGTGCAGGAGAATGAAAATATGGAACAAACGGAAACTGTGTTAACATCCAACTCAGAAATTCAGGCAATTCCTGACCAATCTATTGATTCTCAAGTAGTCAGTTTGAATACACAACAAAAATGGGACACTGAGACTCCTATTACCTCTAAAGGCAGAATGATAAAAAAAACCTTCTAGAGATTAATTGTAGACTCTTAGCCTTGATCTACAATACGGGGGAGAGGGGTTGATGTAAGGTACGCAACTTCAGCTACGTGAATAACGTAGCTGAAGTCGACGTACCGTGGGGTCGACTGCCGCCGCTCCCCTGTCGGCTCCGCTTCCGCCTCTCACGGCGGTGGAGTACCAGAGTCGACGGAAGAGCAATTGGGGATCGATTTATCACATCTAGACTAGACACGATAAATCAATCTCCAATAGATCAATCACGATCCGTCGGGTAGTGTAGACGTACCCTTAGGGTTTCAGATTAGAGTGATGCTAAATTAAGTTAAAAATGAAATGTAAATATTTTTTTAAAAAGGGAGCGATAATGAGCAGGAACATAATGTTGCATGGTGTAGGAGAGGGGGAATATTGTGTAGTGAGCCTTATCAGCAGAAAACACGTTGCTACAGGCTACACTTGCAGCCATACAGGGAAACTAGCAATTCCTATCAGTACAGCTCTCAGTAATAAATGTTTACTGTTACTTAAAGTCTTCAGTATCTTTTCTTATAATAGCTAGTTGGCAACAGCTATTACAGATTGTCTTGGGCATTGCTCTGCTGCATCAAGGCCAGGGGTGCAGTTAGTGGTGCACATTTTGAGTGATTTGGTCCCACAGGCCAGGGCATACAGCCCCCGCAAAAATGGTCAGCTTTAAAAAAATTTCAATTCTCAGCAAAGTTTTTGTCCATAGCTGAAGGGAAATATACTCAGAACATAAATGAAACTCACATCAGACAACTTCCCCTGATCTCAGCTTGTGAACACCACCAAGAACAAGCTGCAGAATACAGAGATTCAGAAGTTATTAGACTTTCATTCTAGTTCTATAAGGTGGTGCACAAGGCTGCTGTGCACCAGCTCTGATAGAGAAGCAAGAGTGCAATGGAACCTGTCAGTTTAAAGTTCATTTTTCAAAGTGTTCTAAAATTTACGACCCCATTCAGATCAGGTTGAAATTTGGTACGCCTGGTGGGGGCCTGGGGTAGTGTCAGTCTGGAGTCATTTGGTTGGCAGTTCCTGATACACAGTCCCTAATTAAAAGCCTGATGTTGACAGGTTAGGGTGGCATTCGTGGCCAGTTTTACGTTCACCTGCCCGGAAGGAGGTGCCTTGCAGAACAGAGATTTCGATGGAGCTGGTATTGAGGAGAAAGTATCTGGGAAATGGGGAGATTCTGCTCTTCTGAAGGAGGCTCAGCAAAATGTCAACTCCCCTGAAAGTTCATATTAGTATGAAATGAAAAGGATTCAATTAATCAGTATCAAAAGTGTTTCTTACCTTATATTTCTGGGCAGCCTCTTTAATGAGAATCACTGTGTGCGTTTTGTGTACTGGGGATTTGTCACATTCCACACATATGAATTCCCCATCCTCTTCACAAAACTGACTGAGTTTTTCCTTGTGTCTCTCACATAGATTCTCCTTTTCCTCTTTTCCTGGTTTTAATCCCAATTGTTTAACGTGTTCCACTAAACCGGCCAGATCCCAGTTAGGCCTGAAATTCACTTTCTCAATCTTTTCTCTGCAGATGGGACAGCACAAAGGGCCATGATTTCCCTCTTCCCAGTTGTCACAGTATGTAGTTACGCAGGTTTTGCAGCTGCTGTGCCCACAGTCTACAGTCACTGGGTCGCTAAAATAATCCAGACAAATTGGACATGTGGCTTCATCTTCCACTTCCCTTTCAGGAGTCTCTGAGGCCAGAGCTGTTGCCATTTCAGGGTTCTCATTCTCTCTTCCTGTTAAAAGTAGCAGACAAGAGACTTTTACAATGTAACAGCTTTAGTGAACCTACAGACTTGTCAATATTCCTATATATTCTTTAGGGCTGGCAAGCGATTAAAAAAATTAATCCCGATTAATTGTGTGATTAAAAAAATTAATCGTGATTATTCGTGAGATTAATCGTGTTGTTAAACAATAATAGAATGTCATTTATTTAAATATTTTTGGATGTTTTCTACATTTTCAAATATATTTATTTCAATTACAACACAGAATACAAAATGTACAGTGCTCACTTTATATTTATTTTTGATTACAAATATGTGCACTGTAAAAAACCAAAGAAATAGTATTTTTCAATTCACCTCATACAAGTACTGTAGTGCAATCTCTTTATGATGAAAGTTGAACTTACAAATGTAGAATTATGTACAAAAATAACTGCATTCAAAAATAAAATGATGTAAAACTTTTGAGCCTAAATTCCACTCATTAACTTCTTGTTCAGCCAGTTGCTCAGACAAACAAGTTTGGTTAAAATTTGTAGGAGATAATGCTGCCCACTTCTTGTTTACAATATCACCTGAAAGTGAGAACAGGCGTTCGCATGGCACGGTTGTAGTCAGCTTCACAAGATATTTACGTGCCAGATGCTCTAAAAATTCAGATGTCCCTTCATGCTTCAGCCACCGCTCCAGAGGACATGCGTCCATGCTGATGAATAGACTGCCTAGGAAGGTTGTGGAAGCTCTTTCACTGGAGGTTTTCCAAAAGAGGTTGGATAGCCATCTGTCCTGGATGGTTCAGACACAACAAATCCTGCATCTTGGCCAGGGGTTAGCCTAGATGACCCTTTCAGTCCCTTCTAATCCTGTGATTCTACGAAAATCCAGAGTCACTTCATCAACGACTTAGATATTGGTATAGAAAGTACGATTATTAAGTTTGCGGATGATACCAAACTGGGAGGGATTGCAACTGCTTTGGAGGACAGGGTCATAATTCAAAATGATCTGGACAAATTGGAGAAATGTTCTGAGTTAAACAGGATGAAGTTTAACAAAGACAAATGCAATGTGCTCCACTTAGGAAGAAAAAATCAGTTTCACACATACAAAATGGGAAGAGACTGTCTAGGAAGGAGTACGGCAGAAAGGGATCTAGGGGTTATAGTGGACCACAAGCTAAATATGAGTCAACAGTGTGATGCTGTTGCAAAAAAAGCAAACGTGATTCTGGGATGTATTAACAGGTGTGTTGTGAGCAAGACACGAGAAGTCATTCTTCCGCTCTACTCTGCTCTGGTTAGGCCTCAGCTGGAGTATTGTGTCCAGTTCTGGGCACCGCATTTCAAGAAAGATGTGGAGAAATTGAAAAGGGTCCAGAGAAGAGCAACAAGAATGATTAAAGGTCTTGAGAACATGACCTATGAAGGAAGGCTGAAAGAATTGGGTTTGTTTAGTTTGGAAAAGAGAAGACTGAGAGGGGACATGATAGCAGTTTTCAGGTATCTAAAAGGGTGTCATAAGGAGGAGGGAGAAAACTTGTTCACCTTAGCCTCTGAGGATAGAACAAGAAGCAATGGGCTTAAACTGCAGCAAGGGAGGTCTAGGTTGGACATTAGGAAAAAGTTCCTAACTGTCAGGGTGGTTAAACACTGGAATAAATTGCCTAGGGAGGTTGTGGAATCTCCATCTCTGGAGATATTTAAGAGTAGGTTAGATAAATGTCTATCAGGGATGGTCTAGACAGTATTTGGTCCTGCCATGCGGGCAGGGGACTGGACTCGATGACCTCTCGAGGTCCCTTCCAGTCCTAGAATCTATGAATCTATGAACCCTCTATTACAAGGCTCTGCGGTAGCAAGGCCCTGTACTGAGCTGTTGAAGAACCTGGCTCTTGAGCAATGTTCAGACTACTGCCACCCTAAATGGAAAGACGAGGTTTGACCAAGGTAGGTAGAGTTGGACCTGGTCTCTGAGAAGGGAGGGGAGGTGCAATGGTCCTGGCTACACACTGATCAGACACTTCACAGGGACGGGATGAAAGAAGTGGGTGATAAAAGATGTGACAGGATGATCGAAGAGTTAGGGGCAGATTCTGATTCTTTTCCTCACAAGAGGTAGTACCTTTTCCTCACATGATGCCACTGATTTTAATGAAATTGGGGGAGAAACTACTCAGCATGATCAAGGTGGTGAAATCTGGCTGCTAGCGTTTTTGGCTGCCATTGCCCATTGAGTAGATGTTTTCAGAGAACTATCCACAGTGACTACAAGATCTCTTTCTCGAGTGGTAACAGCTAATATAGACCCCATCATTTTAGATGTATAGTTGGGATTATGTTTTTCAATGTTCATTACTTTGCATTTATCAGATTTGAATTTCATCTGGTAGTTTGTTGCCTAGTCACCCAGTTTTGTGAGATCCCTTTGTAATTGTCACATTCTTCTTTGGACTTAACTATCTTGAGTAATATTGTACTGTCTACAAATTTTTCCACCTCACTGTTTACATTTTTTCCGGATAGTTTATGAATGAGTTGAACAGTACTGGTCCCAGTAGAGATCCCTGAGGGATACCACCATTTACCTCTCTCCATTCTGAAAAGTGACCATTGATTCCTATACTTTGTTTCCTATCTTTTAACCAGTTACTGAACCATGAGAGGACCTTCCCTCTCATACCATGACTGCTTACTTTGCTTTAGAGCTGTTGGTGGGCAACCTTGTCAAAGGCTTTCTGAAAGTCCAACTACACTATATCCAATGTAATTATATTATGGTTGCTATTACCAAACAGTTCAGCTTTATTCACCTCTTGGACCAGACCTCATGTTTCACTTAGGTCTAAATCAAGAATTGCTTCTTTCCTTGTGGGTTCCAGGACTAGCTGCTCCAAGAAGCTGTCATTTATGATGTCTAGAAACTTTATCTCAGCATCCCAGTCTGAAGCAACATGTACCCAGTGTGACATTTCCCAGGGTACAATCTGGACTGATAAACAGCTGTGTCCCTTCAATTCTCTAACTGGGGGTGCCTTTTACACTACTTTCCCGTGAAAGCTATTACTCCTGGTGTCTTCACAAACAGCCCCTAGCATGTAAATCACTCCCAGTTCAACTGTGTGAGTGTTCTGGCCACCCAATCATGAATTACACTATAAGGTAACACCAGCAAATTTCCAGTCCCAGAGACAGTACTCCAGCTGAGGCCTAACCAGTGCTGAGTAGAGCGATACTATCACCTCCCATGACTTGCAGACCATGTCTCTGTTAATGCAACCTAAAATTGCATTTTCTTTTTTGCAACAGCATTGCATTGCTGACTCATGTTGAGATTGTGATCCACCACAACTCCCAGCTCCCTGCTCTTCCTCCAGGTGCAGCCTGGGAAGTTAATTGGCCCACCTAGCTACCTTAGCACTTTCATGCCTTGTGTGAGGTGCTTACATAGGATTGACCTCAATTAGCTATTCTGATGTAAATACTATCTGGTCTTTGTCTCTGCTGCGATTTTACTGCAAGATAGTTCTGTCAGTGTAACAATATGTAAAATGTTTTGGACTGAAGACATAGCCTGATGAGACTGGCACATGGATGAGGGCAATCTGGCTGAGGTTCAGTTATAACAGAGTGCCGGCTCTGATGTAGTTAAGGTTGAGTATCACTTTCCGTTTAAAGGTGGACTAACCTAAGGACTCTAAAATCTAGATGCTTACTCAGGTTGTCTTGACATTTGCTGTTCTTCATGGGGATGCAGGGTAGGATTAATAGTCCAAATTTGGGATCAATTGTGCAAGGGTTCATGAAATAGATCCCCCCCAAAAAATAATTTTACACACATCAACTCATTTTTTAACTTTTTGTTGTGCACACCTGTGGTTCAAACTATGACTCTAATCATCCCCCAACTGATCTCAGTCATTCAGCATTTTCCTCAGCCAGTGCACGGCACCCACTGTCCATTTGGAGAAGCTATATTTAAAAAGTTATTAACCTTTGTCATAACCATACAGCTAAGGGTAGCCTAGAATTCCTCCTTACCTGTAAGGGGTTAAGAAGCTCAAATAACCTGGTTGGCACCTGACCAAAAGGACCAATGGGGAAAGAAGATACTTTCAAATCGGGGGTGGGGGAGGCTTTCTTTGTGCTCTTTGTTTGTGTGCTCTCTCTCGGGACTGAGAGGAGCCAGGCAGAAATCCATCTCCTCCAAACAATCCTGAACGAGTCTCTAATATTACAAAAATAGTAAGTAAAGCCAGGCAAGGCATGTTAGGTAATCTTTTGTTTTAGCTTGTGAATTTTCCCTTTGCTAGAGAGAGGTTTATTCCTGATTTTTGTAACTTTGAAACTAAGCCTAGAGGGAGTTCCTCTGTGTTTTTGAATCTTTTGTTACCCTGTCAAGTTATCTTCCATCCTGATTTTACAGAGGTGATTCTTTTACCTTTTCTTTAAATTAAATTCTTCTTTTAAGAACCTGATTGATTTTCAGTGTCCTAAAGACCCAGGGGTTTGAGTCTGTGCTCACTTTGTAACCAATTGGTTAGGATATTATTCTCAAGCCTCCTCAGGAAAGGGGGTGTAAGGGCTTGGGGGATATTTTGGGGGAGATAGGGCTCCAAGTGGCCCTCCCTAAATGTTTGTTTAAATCACTTGGTGGTGGCAGCAATACTGTCCAAGGACAAGGAAAGGAATTTGTGCCTTGGGGAAGTTTTTAACCTAAGTTGGTGGAATATAACATTAGGGGGTCTTTCATGCAGGTCCCCACATCTGTACCCCAGAGTTCAGAGTGGGGAGGGAACCCTGACAACCTTAGAGTTTAGAACTCTAGATCAGAGCGGAATGAACTGCCAGACTAAAGAGACTGAAGTGTGCATGAAAAACTGAAAATTTCTGTGGAACATTTAGATAAAAAATGAAACGTTTTTGTTTTTATTGAAACATTTCAAGTGAAACTATATTATTTGTATGAGCTGTACAGTTAAGAGTCCTTTTCATCCAAATCTACATTTA